GGGGGGGTCGGCTGTGCGTGGTGATGAAAAGCTGGTTCGTGGGGCCCCCAGTGAATGTTTGCCTAGGGCCCCCACAGACTCTAGAATCGCCACTGTGTGCTTTTGGTTGTACATGTTGTGTATTCATCCCTATAAAAATGAGATCACAAATAAATTAAAAAACATATGCATCATATATGTCTCCATCCGTTTATCTCTCCTGAGACTCACGGAGAGGAACCAGGCTCCGGCGTTGAGGCTCTGCAGCTCGCTCCAGCTGAACAAGGAGGCGGCCGTGTTGGTTCTGTTGGGGAAGACGTGCTGGACGTTGGTGGTCCGACGCAGCGTCTGATCGTGCATCAGGAAGGGGACTCCGTCCACACTGCAACCAGGACATGATGATCAATCAATACGTGTACTTATTTATCACATGTTATCAAATGTCATGAGTGAAATGTAATCTGTCGGTTCCCTTTATTTGTTATTGTGGTCAACATGTCAGGGAAATCTAAACTGTGTATCAATATCGATGATAAAAAAGTACGCATCACGGATCAACTGCTATTTCCTATTTGGCTTTTATCAGTATATTAGAAGGCTATAACATTACTTTTTTTCAAAATTGTACAAAATACTATACACTTTATTCTACTTTTTTATACTAGAAAGTTCAATTTTATTCAGAGTCTTCATGCAGACAACCATTATAGTATCAACCAATGACAAAAAACATGTTGTATTTTCAATAAAAGGCGAATAATCTTCCATATATCCAGTATATATATATCCAGCGGCTGACTGACCTGATGGTGACGTCCGTCTCCAGACCTTCACTTCCTGTTTCCACGGCTTTCTCAAATGACATCAGGGTGTTTTCTGGAGCCAGCTGGAACACAGTTACACAAAACACTGGATATATAAACACACCAGAAGAAGTGAAGAGGCTTCTGAGAGTCATACAAGCAGCCCTCTCCCCTCCCTGATGGATATCTCAGTGAATCCACACACTTCGTAGAGGACAGTGCAGACCCTAAAAGTTGATAAATAAATTTAGCAAAAATGAAGGCTATTAAAAAGTATTAAAGGTATTACATTTAGTGGCTTGTTTTCAATAAGTATATAAATGGTCCAAAGAGGTTGTATTCTACAGTCTGCCTGAATGTAATCATTGCGTAGGTGTGTAGTGTGATTCTGTGTAGTTTATTTATGGCATCCCGTTGGATTTGACGTCATCTGAACAGGACATCGCACGCTCACTGCTTGATAGCGCGAAGGTCCGTTTACGCCGGTTGCTAAGCAACATCGTTATGGGGAAATGCAAGTCTGCGTCCAAACGGTTGGAAGATAAGGAGGAAGGNGTTTGTATCTAAACTCTACAAATCTTTCCTCTTGACGTCAAAGGGTTCAACTCTTTCAGAATTATTCCATGACCTTATTAGAGCAGCAACTTTTTCAATCAAGTCATTATGTAGTAATGTTTTCACGTGAATCTACCCAAACAGTGTTATCAGATGTGTGAATTTGCTGCTTTTCTTTGTCAATGTGTCTGAGTATTAAAAACAACAACAAACAATTACCTTAATCATAAATAAAACGTTTTTAAAAAGAGACGTTCTGTTGATACGAGAACAATAATAATTAAAACATAAAATGAGACATTCGCATTTTTGATTCCCTTCTTTATATGTATTGTATATTTTTACCATATTTGCTTTTGTATTCAAGGCATATGCTAAGACATGTTTCTATGTGTTATTTTATTTATACTGCATGTATAAAAATGAATTTGTATCTTGAACATAGAATACAATGTTGGGATGAATTAAATTAATTGAAAAAAAGTATTAAAAAAAAAGTAACAAGCTATATATATTTTATAAAGTTTTGTTTTGTTTCCCGCTCACCATGGGGGCCCCTCTGTGTCCGATGAGGGCCGGCGGGGGTCCGAGGGTCCCGACCTCTTTGATACAAGGAGAGTAGAGACCGAGGGGAACCAGATAGAGGACGGACAGGAAGCTCAGGTAAAACCCCAGGATCAGCCCCCCCCTCACTGAAACACACAGAGAGAACTTTCATTATTTTAGTATTAGTTTTCTGAGTAATACATTTTTCAGGATTAAGTTTTTACACCAGTTAGCATTTACACATGCCCAGAAATATACAAATATAAGTACATAATCATTACAAAAAGTAAATTCAAAGATCCAGATGTTCTCCTCACCTCTGCTGGTCATGCGGAAGAAATGCAGAGCGACGGGCCAGGAGAGAGCGGTCAGCAGGAAGACCCCCCCCACATGGAGGAAGGGAGCAGTCACCTGGAGACAGAGCGGCAAAATAATACTTCTGGTAGTGGGTTACCCTCGGCCTTTTTGTTTATGCCTACGATGCTGTCGACTGGCAGCTTTAGACTATTCTCAGTAAATTGTCAATGTAATAACCAGCTTTTTTTCTTTTCTCTTGTACGCCATGTCAAAGTTTCGGGTACCTACTTACTGTATGTTACATTACATGTTACTTATTAGACGTTTTTATCCAAAGCTACTTACATACGTTCAGTACTGTGGACAATCCCCACAGGAGCAATTTTAGGGCTGCTCGATTATGGCAAAAATCATAATCTCGATTATTTGGGTCAATAATTGTAATTGCGATTATTAAATGCGATTATTCATTGACTTTGGAAACATCCATTTATTGGAGAAAGAAAATGTGAACAGTATGTTTTTAACAGTTGATTACCCTGAACTTTAAGTATAATTCAACTGAAAAAAAAAAATTATTTAAAAAAAAAAT